GGAAGTCCAGCCTAAAGAAAAGGATTATAGGGGGTTATTTACGCCCAACTGAGGACAGTTTCCGGAAAGCAAAATCTCAACAGATGGAGAAAATCTTCCAAAGATGGCAGTTTTGCATCTTATTTTATACATTAGCATAAAAGGAGGAAACATAAAGAGGGTCACAAGAAATCCATTGGTGGTAGAGTAAGGAGGCAGGAAAAAGCACTGTAGGGAAATCTCTAGGATAAGATAAAAAGTAAAACGGAGAGACATGAAGTATGGTAGCAATCATCTCAGGTAGAAAGTATAGTTTACCTTTAACGCTGCTGTTTGGCTTATGTACCTATTTGCTTTGTTTAACAATAGACAGGTTATTTTGATTTTCTGAATTATATAAATCACCCCATTCGACTGAATACCCTATTGATTGTACTGTGAATATCCCATTGGTTGTGGTCGTACTGGTCTTAGAAAGCACATTTTCCTTTACCTGGGAAGGACAGCACAGTTATCCCAAGGTCAGAGGGCTCCAGTTAACATGTCCCCTGTTGACTCAGTGTTCCGGAGACCCCAAAACTGTAATTGAGATAACATGCTTAAGTCTGACCAGGTTCCTCATTCCAGACCCGAGGGCTCTAGATAATGTGTTTCTGTCAATTCAGTGATCCGGAGACCCAAAACTGTAATTTAGATAACATGCTGCTTCTGCTTCTGTAAACTGCTTTTTTTTCGAACCAGGTTCCTCATTCCAAACCCTGGGATGTAATCAATACCTTTGTGATTTTTTCCTATATAACCCTGGAGCTTCGACCATCTTGTTACTATGAGATTTGGGAAAGCAAGATGCCCCCTCCTAGTCCTGGATTGCAATAAATGTGACTCTTTAATTCGCCTTCTTGAGGCATCCTTCTGTGATTCGCGGGGTACATTACAACACATATATACGTCTTTTACATTGGTGGGCACAGCACAGCTAACATTTACAGCAATAGAGATGGTATTAGGAGTGGGGGAGAAGATAATGTGGGATTCTGTTGTCTCGTACCCTGTGGGGTCTGGAAAAGGAGATTATTCTGATATTTCAAAGTCTATTATTTAGATGCAAAAAGATAAATGACAAGCTCACCGAAGGTAAAGGTTGACCTTTGTGTGACTACCCACCATGACTCACTTTTAGTTAGGAATTTTTATGTCCAACAATCCTATGTGGTTACTTTTCATCTCTGAGTTTGTAAGGCCTGACATACAGGCCTCCCTTGAGCTTGTCAGGTTTATTATGTGGCCCCTTTCTTTTGTCCACAAAAAGTGAAGTCCTTTATACAAGAATGGATTGAGCAGTTGGCAGGGAAGAGGACTTGTCCCCCAAACCAGAAAATGACACTACTACATTGTATTCATTCTAAAATGCCATTATTTGGAAGGCATCTTCATTTCAGAGATGTTAATGTGAAAAAATATAGGGCCATTAAGAATCTTTGGCAGATAGGTGACACTCACTAAATGGTGACTACATACTAGACACTGACCCAATTTCTTTACATGGAGTATCTCCCTTAATACTGATGACAACCTTAAGAAGTGGAGAGATCATCGCTCTTGCATTCTCATTTTAGAGATAAGACCACTGAACCAAGGAGAAGTTAAATCGCTTGCTTACGGTCACATCGCTATGAGAAGCAGAAAGGCAGCCCTGACCTCCAGGCGCTGGCCTGGTACTATCAACCAGGGTTGATGCTGCCACGAACTGCCTGGGTGCTCACAGCTCATTCCTATGGAACATAACAGCAGACAAGGTGGCTTCATAAGCATATTTAAACACAGCAAGAACATGAATATTGTCCAAGCCACAAAAATGACCAAACATCCCCTAATTCTAGCTAATACAAGTGACTCCTGGTTCTTTACCAATTACAGCATTAGCCTCAGTCTAGTTTTGCTACATCTAGGCAAGATTTATTAAGATATCTCTATGTATAAAAGGCTAATATGCTAAGTGTCCCTCCCTCCATCTGACCAGTCACTATGATGCTCACTGACCACCAGGGGGCAGATGTTCAACGCAGGAGCTGCAGTGACTTGGCAGCGGCAGTTCTCGGTTGAGGTACCCCAGAACCAGAGTGGAGGGAGCCCGATTCCTCACGGGGCATGCGATTCCACCTTCAGCCATGGGTTAGGTTGTTGTTGAGGCACTGTTGGCCCCAAATGTGGTTTACTGCACACTTGTGTTTGTGTTCCACACCATGCACGACAGCAGCTTTGCAGAGTGCCCTCACGCACTCCAGGACCCCAGCTGCTGGAGGGACCCCACTCACTCCGCAGACGCCTTTCGAGCCACAGTGCCACCCCAGGTGCAGCTGGCTGGGGAGGGACCGTAGGAGGTTGGCTCCAGGGTGTGTCCGGCCCATCTCGCCCAGTTGGCCACCTTCTAATTCAGTGGTCGCCAACCTTTCAGACCTCAGGGCCCATCAGTGGTCCATGGACCAAGAGTTGGCGACTGCTGTAAATCTAATTAATTTTCTTTCAATGTGCACAAATCCGTGCACTGGGTCACTAGTCTAATCATAAAATGAACTCCACTTCCTGACAGTATGCAGTCCAGAGGGAAGCCCCTCTTCCATAAACTCTCCCCAAATCATCTCCTAACACAAATGTGAATCCTTTAAGTCCTTCCTTATCACTGACTCCCCTCCAATAGGCAATCAAACCAACTTATTCAGCTACAGATGTGTTCCTGGTGGCTTTTAGCTGGAGAACATTGACTGCAAGTAAGTTAATGAGACATGATTGGGACCCAAGAAGTCATTGACTCCAGAGACCTCCCCTTTCCAGCCCTCCCCACACACTACATTATGTTGACTCCTGAACTGCAGAATTCTGTTAGATCTGCACTGCACAGCTGGGTACCCAGCACTTGAAATGTATCTAGTCCCAACTGAGACGTGGTATGAGTACAAAATTTTAAAGACTTTGTGCAGAAGCAAAGGGATGCAAGATATTTCATTAATAATTTTTATATTGATTAAATGTTAAAATGATACATTTTAGATATATTGAACTAAATTATATATTAAAATTAATCTTACCTGTTTCTTCTTATGTTTTAATATGGCTAACAATTTTAAATTATATATGTGGCTCACATAGTATTTCTGCTGGACAGTGCTGTATTGATACTTACTTATGATTCAGATAATATTCATTCATGGATACATTTATTCATCTATTCAACAAAAGTGTATTGTATACCTACTATGTGCCATGCACTGACAAGATGAAAAAGATGTGGTTCTTGTAAGGCTTGTACAGTATAATGGCTAAACAGGCTAATGAACAACTTTTTTTTCAACAGCAAATATTTATTTATTATTGAATGTGGGCTGTGAGCCTGGCTCCACTCTAAATACAGCTGTGCTTAAGTGAGGCAAAAATCGCTTTATCCTTAGAACTTATATTCCAGTGACAGAACCAGATAAGAAAATAAGTAAGTTACCTAGTATATTAACAGATGTCAAATGCTGTGGAGAAAATAAAACTGGCAGGGTGATAGGAACTCTAGGAGGTGCTGCAATTTTACATAGGCTAGTGTGGTAGATCCGGAGATACACTCCCCAGGTGTGGCTTCTTGGAAGGAGGGTGGTCAGCAGGTAGTCCCCAGCTTTCCTCTCTTTCGGAGTCTGCCTTAGTTTCAGAGAGCCACTATGGCTCAGCCATGTTCTCCATAGGCAGCCTGAATTTGGTAACTAAATGAGACATGAATATAAAGGCTTGGCCATTTCAGCCAGACCCGGGACCCACTGATGGGCAACACTGGCTCCAGAACGCTCTCCTGGGTTGGATGAGGCTTTGCCAGGCCTGCACTGCAGCTGACTTTGTAGGCCTACTCCTGTTACACCCCCTTCCTTCACAGCCATGGATCCTAATAAACACTCCGTGCGCCAGCCTCTGTGTCAGCATCTGCTTGCAGAGAATGCAACCTGAGACAAATGGCCAGGAAAGGCTTCGTGGAGAAGGGGACATTTGAGCAAAACAGGAGAGGAGGGAGTAGCTGTGTGGAAATATGGGACAAGTGCTGTCCTGGAAAGGGAAGAGCAAGTGCTAAGGCCCTGGGGTGAGAACATGCGTAGGGTTTTCTAGGATTGGCAAGGGCGGCTGGAGCGGAGCGAGTGAGGAGTGCCGAAGGAGGTGAGGACAGAAGGGTCACCAGACAGACCATGCTGAGCCCTGCGGAATGGTAAGGACTTTGACTTCAAGTGAGATGGAAAACCATAGGAGGGTTTGAGCAGACGACTGGCCTAATCTGCCTTCAATTTTGTTTTATTTTACTTTATTTCTTTTTATTTTTAAGGAACAGCTTTATTTATTTTTAAATTTCTATTTACTAATTTGAGAGAGAGGAGGTGGGCAGAGAGAGACACACATCCACATGTCCCACTTATTCATGCATTCATTGGTTGCTTCTTGCATGTGCCGTGACCAGGGATGTAACCAGGACCTTGGTGCATCAGGACGATGCTCTAACCCACTGAGCTACCTGGTGAGGGCTTTGCTTTAGTTCTGACGGCAACTCAGGGCCATGCTTATTTCAAGAATAATCCCAACTGCCACCCTGATTATTTTGAAAATCTGATACCTTCTTTTTCACAAGTAAATATTTCAGTGTAAATCTCTAAAAATTAAAGATTTAAAGAAAAACAAAACTAAAATACCGCCATTGAGGATCCCCCACCCCCAAATAATTATCTGATATTATTTAAAAGCTTCTCAGTATTCAAATAATCCACATCTCATTTTTTTTCAGTTGATTTGTTCCAACCAGGGTCCTAACTAGGTCCATACTTGGTTGTGTCTAAGACCCTGTTTGTCTATAGATCCTCCCTCCCTCTTTGTCACCCTGCAGTTATTTGTTGAGAAAACACAGCCGCCCCGCCCACTGCGTGCTGGTCCCGGCCCGGCCCGGCCCGGCCCGGCCCGGCTCAGCGCTCGGATTCCGGGGGGACTGTGTTACCGCGACACTGACCCGCCGCTTTTCCTTCCGCCCACCGTTGCCTTCGCCCCTGCAATGGCTTCAGGGCTGGGAAGGCTGCTGCTGCGGGGGCCTCGCTGCCTCCTGGCCCCGGCCGCCCCCGCTCTCGCCCCGCCGGTTCGGGGAGTGAAGACCTTCCGTGCCGCCGTCCGCTTCCAAAAGGAGCTGGAGCGGCGGCGCCTGCTCCGGAACCCGCCGCCGCCCGTGCGCCGGTAGGAGCCGCCTCGGGAAGGGTCCGGGTGGCGGTCGAGGACCCGGGGCCTCCCGCAGGGCTTCGGCCCCGCGGCGGGGAGGGTAGGTGGCCGCTGAGGCGCCCCTGGTTCGAGCCTGGGAGGTGTGCGATGGAGACACTCATGCTTGCGACGAGGACGCGTGGACCGAGCCAGAGGAGCGGGTTTCGGCCGCGCGTGGAGCTGCCCGGCGCGTGGGAACTCCCCGTGAGACGCAGGGCGCGAGCTGTGGGCCGCGAGCCGGCGGAGGGCGACCTTCCTGTGGCCTCGGGTGTGGGGCCCCTGCTTTGTAAAGTCTGAGGTGTCTGTGGGTGCGGGCAAGAGGGGAGACAACACGCCACAGCGATGCGGTTCAGAGGGAGGAAAGAACTAAGTGTATTCCACCACAACCCCCTGTCCAGCGAAGAGAAACTTTCTGGCTTTAGGTTTTCCCCTCATTACTCTTGCTCCGGAACTGGAAGGTCCGTGGAAAGGGACGTAGATCTTGTAGGTCCGAATCAGATCCGACTACACGCACACGCTGCATCTTTTTCTCTTTAATCATGTGCCTGACGTCGTCGTGCCGGTACAAATAGATGCACTTCACTCTTTTATGGCTCCGCTTATGTGTATTTAAGGTCCATGTTATTGCTATTACAACCGACGTAACAAATGAATAGCTTTGAACTATTACTCCTTTGAGGATTTAAGATGGAATTTCCATAGCTACTTCAATATTGTCCTTCCCTTCCCCCCAAAATACTTAATCCAGTCTGTATGCCTACCAGTAGGAATAGACATGTTCATATTCCTATACTCTTTGAACACAAATAGTTCGTTTTCTAATAGGCAAAAGTAGCATTTATTTTAAATTCGCATTTCTTATGTAGTTATCTTAGGCTTTTATAGTTGGAAGAAACTTACAGGTTATATATCCATTTTATTATTTATAACCCAGGTCTTTATATTTTGCTGCCCTCTTTTATTTAAAAGTTTTATTTTGGGTGCGTTGTCTTTAAAAAAATACCTTTTAGTCATTCTTGGGTATGGACTTTTAACCTACTTATAATGGTAGTATACTACTTAATTGCTAATTTAAATGAATGTTTTCAAAACTTAATAAAATATAAGACAAATACAAGGTACTTATTGTTTATGGCTTGAATATGTGAAATTATAATTTGTACTTCACACCTAGACGTTAAGTATAGTTCTATGGTTAGAGCACGGTAATGTAGCAGTTGGCTCAAAGGGAAAATTAATCCAGCAGTGTAGCTAGCAAAGAACAAGTAATCGTCTGGCTTGAATTTTAACTTTTAGGAAATCAAAGTCTGGCATTAAAAATGAAAATCTTTTTTTTTTTTTTTAAATATATTCTATTGATTTTTTACAGAGAGGAAGGGAGAGGGATAGAGAGTTAGAAACATCAATGAGAGAGAAACATCCATCAGCTGCCTCCTGCACACTCCCTACTGGGGATGTGCTGCAACCAAGGTACATGCCCTTGACCGGAATCGAACCTGGGAGCCTTTCAGTCCGCAGGCCGACGCTCTATCCACTGAGCCAAACCGGTTAGGACAAAAAAATGAAAAAAATTTTAAATTTCTTATATAATTAACAACATTGCAACACAATGAAAAATTTTTGCACAATAGCAACATCTTGTCCTTTTCTTTGCCATGTGTTACTACTGTCTTCTGTTTTACATTTTCAGTTCGGAGAAGCCCAACTGGGACTACCATGCTGAAATACAGGCATTTGGACATCGGTTACAGGAAACCTTTTCCTTAGATCTTCTCAAAACTTCATTTGTTAATAGCTGCTATATTAAAAGTGAGGAGGCCAAACGCCAGAAACTTGGAGTAGAGAAAGAAGCTGTTCTTCTGAATATTAAAGATAATCAAGAACTATTTGAACAGGGGTCATCTTTTTCAAAAGCTTGCCTCACACAATTTCTTGAGAACGCATTCCCAGACTTGGCCACTGAAGGTGTTCAAAGTCTTGTTGACTTTCTCACTGGTGAGGAAGTCGTGTGTCACGTGGCTAGGAACTTGGCTGTGGAGCAGCTAACGCTGAGTGCAGAATTTCCAGTGCCCCCGACTGTATTACGGCAGACTTTCTTTGCCGTAATTGGAGCCCTGCTACAGAGCAGCGGACCTGAGAGGACTGCACTTTTCATCAGGGTAGGTCATTATTAATTGCACATACTGGGACATACCTGAGATAGAAAGAAGAATTTCTTTTTTTAAAAAATGTGTCTTTAAAATATATATATATATATTATTAATTTCAGAGAGGACCAGAGAGAGAGAAAGAGAAACATCAATGATGAGAGAGAGATTACTGATGGCATATAGTGAATAACCATGTATCTATACTAGTAAAAGGGTAATATGCTAATTGGACTGGACATCCTTCTGGACAAAGCCATGGTAGTGGGGGCAGGGGAGAGCAGTTAGGCGCAATCAGGCAGCAGGGGAGGACAGTTAGGGGCGATCAGGCAAGCAGGCAGGCAGGTGAGCGGTTAGGAGCCAGCGGTCCCAGATTGGAGAGGGTGTAGGCTGGGCTGAGGGACACCCCCACCCCGTGCACAAATTTTGTGCACCGAGCCTCTGGTGTCTTATAAGGCATCTCTGTACATTAAGATATTCAAAATCCCCAACTGAGAATGGACTTAGAAATATGTTTTATTAATGAAGCTGAAATAGAGGTCTGGCGCTTGGGGAAGTGTAACGAATTGACTATTTTGTGAACTGAGGAATCTCTCTTATTTCTCCCATTTGCCCCCATTTATCCTGCCTGTTACACACTGTGTTTGTTCACACAAGTTAATTGCAGTGTATTGTGAACATTAATATTTATGTCTATAACTCCATAAAATATAATTTATTGCCAAAAAATTTTCTTGTGCTTTGAATGATCATAATTTTTTCCTCAGTTTTTTTTTAGTTTTATAAACTGAAAGTATGTAAGTCATAAACACTTAAAAGGCAGTTCATGTGAAATTATTATGTTGAGGGACGTAAATCAAAGCATTTTACTGAGGGTGTTCAGGGGCGGTTCGAGGGCTGGGAGGGCAGTGAGATCCCATGTTCTCAGCCTGGCCGTGATCTCCCAGCTTCACAGTTGCCGGAATCCTGAAATCATTATTTCAATTATTTTTTAAAATCATGAACTTAGACAAAGTAGTACTGTTACCCAGAAGACCTTTAGTGCCTTTTTATAAGAGTTTCTGCCAGAAGTTATTAGTTTATTAATTAAACTCTTTGTAAAAATATTTTTCTTATTGATAATATATTTCTAAATTATGAGACAGGATATTACCTTCAACCATGATTTTTGGAATAAAGTTTATATGAGAAAACTACATGCAAATGTAAAGGAATAGTACTTTTTTTTTTCATTTCCCATTCAGTTTTTAATTCAGGTTTTAAAATTGTACTTTGAATTATGGTCTTTATTTTCTTTACACTAAATGTATAAATTCTATTTTTATATGCAGGACTTCTTAATTACTCAACTGACTGGGAAAGAACTCTTTGAGATTTGGAAGGTCATCAATCCCATGGGGCTACTGGTGGAAGAATTGAAGAAAAGGAATATTTCAGCTCCTGAACCGAGACTTACCAGGCAGTCTGGAAGCACCACAGCTGTGCCTCTGTTTTTTGTTGGCTTATACTGGTTAGTAACATTTTAATCTTAATTTCATTACATTGATTGAAAGCCTTAAAAAATGACTTTCACAGTTCCTCAGTAGAACCTCTAATTGTATTAAAAACTATTTAAAATCTCATTCCTGTGATTATGTACTACTTAGGGAAAGGTAAGTCATCTGTGGATTGCTAATAGTATGTATCATTCTTTCCACCCTGGATTTTCTTTCTCTTTTTTAAAATATATTTTACTAATTTCAGAGAGGAAGGGAGAGAGAGAGGGAGAAAGAGAGAGAGATAGAGATAGAGAGAAACATCAATGATGATAGAGAATCATTCATTGACTGCCTCCTGCATGCCCCTTACTGGGGATCAAGCCCTCAACCCGGGCATGTACCCCAACCAGGGATCAAACTTAGACCCTCTGGTTCATAGGTTGCTGCTGAACACTGAGCCACAAAGGCCAGGCTCTTTTTCTAATTTTAATTTTATTTTTCAATTACCGTTGACAATATTGTATCCTGTTTTCAGGTGTACAGCATAGTGGTTAGACAGTTATATAATTTACAAAGTGATTTTTCTATATTTCCAGGACCCACCTGGCACCATGCAAAGTCATTACAATATTACTGACTATATTCCCTATGCTGTACTTTATTATTAATATTTTAATATATTTTTATTGATTTCAGAGAGGAAGGGAGACAGGGAGAGAGATAGAAACATCAGTGATGAGAGAGAATCATTGGTCGGCCGCCTCCTGCGTGCCTCACACTGGGGATTGAGCCCTCAGCCCAGGCATGTGCCCAGCTGTGACCTCCTGGTTCACAGGTTGATGCTCAACTGCTGAGCCACACTGCCTGGGCTGTGCTGTACTTTACATCCCGTGACTATTTTGTAACTTCCCGTTGGCACGTCTTAATCCCTTCACCTTTTTCATGCTAACAGTAGCTTTTGATAACCAACCATTACTATAAATTTCATGGAATATATGTTAATCTAAATATTTCTGTAGAAAAAAGTAAAAGTTTTGATTCAAGTTTTGCAGATTTAACAGTAAGCCACACTTGTAACAGTTTCAGCTGAGCCAAGAACTGGAAAAAGAAAGGTTTTATTGTCCATCAGAATGTATAAATCAACTCATGTTCAGAACTTTTTAGTTTTCTTAGGGAACAGTGACCTACCCCAAATTGATTTCAGGTGGATTTGAGGGTTAAATGTAAACAGTGAATATTAAGATAACTAAGAAGTTAAGTGAACATTTTTCTAATTGTATATGATGTAGGGCTTTTTAGCTATAAAAGCAATGGAGGACATCACAGAGGAGAAAATGGGTGGTGGTATGAAGTTTCACCTTTAGTTTTAATTAAAGTGTAAAGCAAAATATAAGATACTCCTTTGCTCCTCAGATGGGCAACCCTTAAACACATCCTTTATCAGCAGTCCATACACTATTGCTGGTAGAGAGGAGAAATGGTACAATGTTTCTGTTCCTCTGGTGGATGATTTTGCCAAAATAAGATCTACAAGGCAAACTGATGTGTGGATGCACCAGGTAATTTCGGACTGCTGTTGTTTTTACTCTAGTGATAAAAAGTTGCTTGCAGAAGGACCTGGGGAGACAGTCCTGGTTGCAGAAGAAGAAGCTGCTAGAGTGGCACTGAGGAAACTCTACGGATTCACTGAGAACAGACGGCCTTGGGACTATTCCAAACCCAAAAAGAATTTCAGAGCAGAAAAGACCATCACTGCCGGCTAGCCAGCCAAAGATGTGGGAACCTGAAAGTTGTAAGCAAAACATTGAGACAAGAGTCAGATGTCCAAACCTTTACATTTTTCAAATTGTAAGGAAATATGTTTTATTCCTTATACCGAGTTCCTAAAAGTAAACAAGTATTCATCAGGGCACAGGTTTTGTTTTTTTTTTAAAAATAATTTTTGTTTCATCATCATTTTTGATGTTTTCCCAATAAATTTTTTCTAGGTCCTTGGTTTTATTATTGTATATTACTTGTACAATTAGGTGTATTTTATTCCCTTCTAGCTTTGAGGTATAATTTGAATGTATTTTTTTCTTTGTTTTATGTGAACTTCACTGTAATACCAATAAAAAAGGTACTCTTTCTCTAATTGTTTCATTGTAGTTTAATTTGATATACCCAGGTGAGTGAACTTTGCCTCTCTAATATAATTTTAGCTAAAATAGTAATGTTATTACTTAACCTTTAGAAATGTAGGGTGCATATTATAGCAATTAGGTATTTACTTGATCTCTAGATTCTAGGTTTAAAAATCTGTATAGTAATTCATAGCTATTTACTTTCTATAATGTAAATGGCAGAAAAGATACATTTTATGTTTTTAAAAGAAAACATGAAGATCAAAAAGCAGCTTAAAGTATTGATGCCAGTGCTAATGGAAAAATAAAGTGTGTATTTATCAATTTAATATTTCATAATAATAATCATAGTTACTATGTGCCAAGCACTGTTCTAAGTATTTTACTGTAACATTTAATTTGATAGAGGACAAATCTTAAGTGTGTCCTCTGGCTCTTTAATCCTTTGTGTTCAGTTCTGTAATCCATCTGCAAACTCTCTTTGATTTATTTCTTTTTAACTTTTTGGCAGCAGTAATAATTTTCAGTTTCAGTTTGCCAGTAGTCACTCCCAGGGGTTAACAAGAAAAGTGGGACTGGGGAGTCGGGAATAGAAAAGGTAAAATGTTTAAACCGATAGCACTGTTGCTATGAAATCTTCTTTATAAAGGAAGATGAAGGACCTCGGACACTTTCCTGAGACTGGTTAGGAAAGTGGGACTTAATGTCACATGTATGCGGTTTGCAGATATCACAGCTAACACAGACTGGAGTGGAAGGTTTGAGAATTGCATAGTTGGTTGAACTGGTGGGTTAAATGTAAATTATTTCACCTTTCTTTTGAGAGTTAACTAACTCCTAATAATTGAACCAGGGACAGAGGACCAAACTCAATAGTAAAATGCTGCACATAAGTGTGTCACCCACAATAAGCAAACATGATTTGACAAGCAGCTCGTTGACACCAAAGGAGAAGAGAGATTACAGAAGGTTTCTTGGAAGCAAAACATGATAAATGTCCTCTAACCACTTACTCATCCATCACATGCAAAACTCGGTTTTCTAGTTGAGTGTTTGAATTTTATTTTAGGTGAATATTTTTTTCAAAGGCTTTTAAAAGAATTTAGTTGCAAACTCAGTAAATCTCCCCTAGGGCCCCCCCCCCCCCCCCCCCCCCCCCCCAATTAGTAGTGCTGATAATGTGATCCCAAAATTCTGTTTAGGGCAGTTTGCAGGACCTTGACCTACAAAGCCAGAGGGACGTATCCTCACCCGTAGGCTTTCAAACTTTGAAACCTTGAATGCTTCTGAGTTTACATATGGAGCAAAGCTAGTTCTGGTTCATAAAAATTATTCTGCAAGCAAAGAGATCCAAATTCCTTATGGAGATTGAGCTCAACATATTTCTAAGTAAAGTCTCCTTTGAGCCTGAATTAGGTTGTACCTTTTAAAAGCACCCATGAACATATGAAGGGCTGGAAAGTAGAAAACAAATTATTAACATACTTTTGCAGTTCTATATGAAATAGCTTGAAACTTGGAACCAATCTGGACAATAATTATAAATCCTGCATGAGTTTGATGTGTGGGCAAGAGGAATATGTGGGTTACAAGGATGTCAAAATGGGTGTGTAACCTAGAGCATTCAGTGAGCATTTGGAGAACTAGGTTTTTGATTATCTAATCCAGCGGTTCTCAACCTGTGGGTCGCGACCCCTTTGGCGGTCAAACGACCCTTTCACAGGGGTCGCCTAAGACCATCCTGCATATCAGATATTTACATTACGATTCATAACAGTAGCAACATTACAGTTTCGAAGTAGCAACGAAAATAATTTTATAGTTGGGTCACAACATGAGGAACTGTATTTAAAGAGCCAGAAGGTTTGAGAAGCACTGGTCTAATCCGAATTGCGAAGATAGTTGCTATGACCATAGGAAATTGATGGGGATATAAAAGTACTGATACTTGAACTTGGCACAGGAGAAAGACATTAGAATTATTTACTTTGAAATTCTGACACCCTTTCTCACCTCTTTCCACTCCAGCTCCCTAAGCCCAAAATATAATGGCTCTAAAAGAAGTTCCTTAGCCAAAAATGTAAGATTGATGTCTACAGACTCAATTACATAAGCCTTATTCTTTTTAGTACATATGCTCTTTCTATCTATCTATATATATACAATAGGGAATATTATTCTCAAAATGGTTTATGTGATCATGAGAAAGTGAACTAACTATATTACTAAAAACAAACTCCCAAGAGTGAAATAGGGGCTGTTTATTGTGTTCAGCATGTTATATATATACTTACTAGAGACCCGATGCATGAAATTCATGCAAGGGGCTTGGCCCTTGCAGCACTGCTGCCTTGAGGCCCCTCCCACTGGTCAGAAGGTCATTCTGCCACCAGGTCTAATTAGCATATTAGCTCTTTATTTTATAGGATTTGGCCACAAGATGGTGCTCTAATCCCACTTCATAGTTAAGTAGTATGCAAAGTGCCATTATGTGAGACATTGCCTTTTATCTCAATACAGGAGACATGTATGTATGTATGTATGTATAGGATATATGATTACAGTGGCACATGGCTTTTCTAAGCCCCTTACAGTTCTAATGAATATGTGTGCAGAAGCTAACTTACCTCTTCCCTCTGGATGTAAAGTCGAGAATTTTATGTAAGATCCATTCATGCCAAGGTCTGGATGTTTTAGCTCTTATATTTACTGGAAAGAAGGAAAATGGCAGAGCTTCCATAGATAAAACTTTTTAAAGGCTTTTCCCCCCCACTTCTTGCTATATTTTTTCTACTTTTATTTTATGATGGAAGAAAATGCACTGGCTGCAGTGTCCATCTTGACAGTTTGTAAAATCAGATGTGGGCATCCCTCTTATCAGGGGTCCAGCTCACAACCTCCCCAGCTGAGGGGTGCCCAGCTGGCAGCGTGCTGCCCACGTCTGCATCCTCAAGCCCATTCTCTTCTCCCCTCAGCTGTCTCCAGACCTGTTTGTAAAGCCCCCTACCATTGTCCCCTAGGACCTACAACTGCAGCTCCCAACTTTGTCAATCAGAGCACTTGAAAGCCCTGGCTCTCTCTCAAGAATACCAGGTGATTGCTAAATTGAATCCCATCTTGCAGACGACGAACTTTTCCAGGAAAAAATTCATGCAATCAAAAATTATAATCACAAGCACATATACTTCTGAAAAAAAGCAAGCCGTTTGGTGTCGGAACTGTCTGTGCTTTCACTAACACTCGCTTGCTCTCGTTCATGTACCTGCCTGTCAGTGCTCTCTAGCAGCAGAAGACTGAAGTTTTCAGAAAAATCTGAGAGAAAATCAATTGAGAAAATGAAAAACATTGTTATTTCCCCTTTGGTTGAGGAAGAGCTCCATTATATGATTATTCACATCTGTTGTACATTAACATGGCAAAGAACTGATGACTTTGACCTAATGAATTTTTCAGAAGAGATGAGTAATGAGGTCTCTGACAGGTAGAGAAGGCGGGGAGGAGGGGTTTGCTTGACTTTCTGACACTTCCTCCACGTAAGTTATGGCGTTGTTATCTCCACAGTCAGAAAACAGTACGGGCCAGGGGATACCATCAGTACACAGTTTAGTTAATAAGACCAATACAGTCAAGGATAGGGGACCATCCTTAGAGTCACATGACAATGATGTCTGTAGGGATCCTGGCAACCTGCCAGTACGATTCACTTCTTAGTCCTGGGATTGTTTTCCTGTCTAGCAAAGAAAAGCACAAGCAATATCACCCTTCTCTTTGCCTTTGGTAGCTGGGATTATAAACTTCAGACAGAGGAGGTATACTACTAAGAAATTTAAAAATTCACATTTATTTTTCTATTTAATATTCAATCTAATCTGCAAACACTAACAATGTACCTGGTAACAATGTACCATGACCTCCTGGTTCATGGGTTGACAACCACTGGGCCACACACGCAATTTTAATGTGCCCAGTAAAATGTGACTGATTTATATTATTGGGGAGTTGCCCACCTATGTCACATAACAGGGCTACTCTATTGGGCAGTAATAAAAAGGTGAACTCTTCTGGTCTTTGCTGGAATGAGCAGTGCTGGAGTCAAGAACCCAGGGAGCTAGTCTTGGCCCTGCAAGTGTTTTTATTATGTCTTTTCTCTTGGACTAAGGCCCATTGGGTCTTACTTCCTATCATGTAAACACACTGCAACAGTCAGATACCTCAATGTGCTAAGATTCTCTCTCTCTTCTAAAATTAAACTATGTAGAGAAATATTTATCTCTGTACCCCCTGGTACTTGGTACCCCAAAGGTAATTGAATGAATGAGTGGAGTGCACAATTCTTGAATTACTGATTATCCTATTCTTATTTTAAACTATTTAAAGTAATATAACTGAATGGGATCAGAGAACTGGAAAACCAGTAAAACTAACTCTACAAGGCATTAATAACTAACTGTACCAGCATGTTTGCTAGAGTACAGTGTTCTGAGGTAACCCTTCAAAATAATTTTTTTGGGCCCAGCCGGTGTGGCTCAGTGCTTGACATCGACCCATGAACCAGGAGGTCATGGTCAGGGCAGTGCCTGGGTTTTGGGCTCAATCCCCAGTAGGGGGCGTGCAGGAGGCAGTCGATCAATGATTCTCATCATTGATGTTTCTATCCCTCTCTCTGAAGTCAATAAAAACATATTTAAAAAATAATTTGTTGGCATCTAATTTTAACTAAGGAAAACAATCCCCTCTTTCTCCCTTCTGTCAAGGTTAACCAAAGTACCCAAACTTAGGCAAAGCTCAGCCCACTTGACAAATAAGAATTATAAATGGCAAATGGTGGATTGTTGAATGTGATGTTTTAATATATAAAGAGTATAGTTCATGGGTTAGGAAAAGGTTTTTAAGTTTTGATAAAAAAATATTTGAAACCATTCTGATTGAGATAAGACTACCCAAATCTTGGAGAAATTAGTGGGAAGAAAAAAAACAAACAACCAGGCAACTAAAAAATGGTAACATTAGA